TTCTGGGAAAGCAAGTAAAAAGGGTTTTTTTTATGATCTCTATAGAAAATAAACTTGATGTGCCTTAATTTGTTCACCTTTTAGTCTGATGAGGAAGGTGCCAAGGAAAGAGAAGGAGAAGAAGGCCAACAGAAATTCATTGCACATGTTCCTGTGCCAACTCAGCAGGAGGTAAGACATAACAAAGTTGGGTTGCAGAGATGCACACTGGCTTTTGCAAGGCAGATCTTCACTTATCATCATCAGTAAAAGTGCCCTAAATTGGTTATTTCTGTGACTTGACTCTGCAGCTGTTTATTTCTCCTGCAGATACTGTGGTTGTCTTGTGGTACGTTGCTATCACAGTTTTCACCTGAGAATTTTCAAAACCTTCATCAATATTCCATAAATTGGGAAGTGTTGTGGGGCTATGATCGATAACCAGATTGCCTGCTATATCTTCACTGTGCCTTTCTGCTGATGGTCTGCTTTTTTTAAAATTTAATGGGATGATTTCTGAATTGTGGGGTTTGTTCTCGGAAGTTTTCTAAAATTATTTTGGTGGCACGACCTTGAATTGACTGTTATATTTTGAAACTGCTCTAGGGTATTTATTACCTTCACAGACAAGTTGTTTGAAGCACAGCCCAGGCAAAAAGATTGTGGAGTTACGTAGCTGTTTCTCTTTTTTACGTAGCTGTTTCTCTTTTTTAGTGGCAAATCACTCCATACCTCATGCCTACAGGATCATGCCTTCTAGAATCTGAATTACTAAAAAATCAAGGTTCACAGCACTTCTTTGGAGAGATGCTGTGTGCAATTTGGACAAATATCAAATCATTACTGAGACTAAAGCAAGTCATGCAGGTTGTTTTTAGTGGACCTTTAAAGCAGGTGCTTCTCAGAGGATCAGGTACCACTGGCACTCCAGGCAAAGTGCAGGGCAGAGGTCCTGGCCTGGCTGATGGGAAGGGCACACTCACAAAGTGTGAGTTCTCCTGCAGCTGTATCTGAGGGAATCATTTGGAACAGACCAAAATGGAATGGCAGCTGACACCCTGATTACAAGCCTGGGAGCATAGATCAGAAACAGACACCTACTTTACTGCTTCTTTTGACTTCCAGGAGCTTCATCTGAGCATTAAAAAGGATACTCCTGACTCATCATAGTTCCACTACTTTTCCAGTAGTACACAGGTCTTTCCCAGGCTGTTCCCTGTGTGTTCCTTCCTCCTGTCTGTAGCTGAGCATCCTGGGTGTCAGCATCCCAGTTCAGCTGAATGCTGTGCTGTTTCTCTCTCTGCAGATTGAGGAGGCTCTCGTGCGGAGGAAGAAGATGGAGCTGCTCCAGAAATACGCCAGTGAGACCCTGCTGGCACAGAGTGAGGAGGCAAAGACACTGCTGGGACTGTAGCACTGCAGCAGCACGGCCTGCTTGGCTGTAACCCACCCAAAAACAGCAGGTTCCTTGTTCTGGTAGCAATGGCTTTTAGCTCTGGAAGTCCTTTGGATGTTCAGAGTAAACTGATGGAATCTCAGTGTGTTCTGCAAAGGAAACCCGTCATTTTGGTTTATCCAGTAGAATGAGTGGCACTCCAGTGCTGACAGAGATCTTGTCTCTGCATCTACAGCTGTCATCAGTCCCTTCAGTTTGTAAAAGGGTCTGGCAGTGGTGCCTCTTACAGATAGAACCACACACCCACCGGCCTCTGAAATCCCGAGGGAAAGCTGATGGCGTTCCTGCCACCCTCCCTGCTCTATCCTGACTGTGAGTGTACACATCCCTCTCATGCTGGTTTTTGATGAGCTGAGTCCAGAATTAACTTAGTTACACCTGCTTAGTTGGCCAGAATAGCCTAGAACCTGTTTAGAGGTACTGAGATGACAGATCTTATGAGTGACTTTGAAGTAGATTTGGTTCTTTCTGTGACACATACAATGTCTAAAATCTGCTGCCCTTCTTTGTTGTTTGTAACTGTGCCTGGATGGATTGCTTAAATGCTGGATATTTCAGCAGCTCTTGTAAAAAAACTTTGCCATACCTTGTCAAATATTTTTAGTAAAACTTATTTACAACCTGGTGTCTTGTTTCATTCTAGCTCAGAGGATTGTGGGGATTCCCTAATCCTAGCCAGAAAATGGGATCATAAACAGCCATCCCTGCAGGGATTTGAGGCTCTACATCCCCTACTGCTCCTGGCTCATGTGTCCTGTGACAAGAGGCAAGGCCTGTTTAGAGTCTTCTGGGTGACTGCTGTACAGATCTGAATGAATGACACTTTAAACTGGACATCTGCAGCCATGGAGTATTTCTGTCTAAGGAACAGAGTATTTAACAGTCAAGTAACCATGTCTGGGACTGTTTAACCTATTTCTAATGCTCTTAGTATTAATCTGTTACTATCTCTTGTGAATAATCCACTCCAGAACAATCAAAGCTCTAAATTATAGAGAAAAGGTTTGTCTTACTTGATGTAAGTGATCAAACAAAAAAGCCTTGAAAATGTGGGAAATGTAGCCACCAAATTAAAAACTTAAAATAAATCAAAAGCTCAATTATTAGTAGGGGCAGACCCCTAACCTCACAAACACATTCTTCTCTCTGGCTGTTGGCAGCGCAGCTCTGCTTTGTGAGAAAGCAGCAAAGGAGTGTGTCTGTGACTCCCAGGAATTTGTGTGCTCTGGGTTCCAAGCATCTCCAAAGGGCTGCCTTTTGAGTGTTTTCTGGGTTTGGGTTTCAAGAAGTGATGTGCTTTTGACATGTTCTCTGTATTGCTGTAAAAGGGAAACACTGTTTCCCAGAGTTCCTTCCCCAAAACCCTGGCCATCGAGAATGGAAAAACAGGCTCCTTTCTTGTTGGATGTGCTGATGGTTCTGGATCAGACTGGCATCCTTTGCCTGTGGAAAATCTCAGTCTGTGAAGGGTAAAGGCTTTGGAGGGCTGGAGATGACAAGAACAGATTTAAGGGAGAAAAAACCCAGCTAGTTTCTTACGGCCTGATACAGTCTGGTACAGTTTGATAATACCAGTGGTGGATCCCTTCTGTGAATCTCTAAGATGGAAGATGGAAAACAGAAGGGTAAAGACAAATCAGGGACAGCGTGATGATGAAAGCAGGCATGAAAAAGGAATAAATTGAAAGAATGAGAGAAAATGAACAGGATTGTTATTGCATTCCTGTTCAAAGGAGTAGCTTCCAGCCTTGAGCATTAGCCAACATCATGATGTAAAAGGAGAGTTTTTAGGGCAGGGCTGATCTCTGCTACCCACCACAGAACCAAAATAAATGCCCAAAAATGCAGTATGGAACTGTTCAAGGCAAACTGAACTCTGCTGCCTGGCCCTCTCTCCTAAATGCTCTCTCTGTAGCTCAGTGCAAATGGTTTTTAAGCTGAATGCTCTTCTTGGCTGTGCCCAATTCAACAAATGGCAGAGGAATTCCTTGCCCTAGTGACCTGTGGCAAAAAGGCTGTGCCTGCCTGCTGTGTGGGCTGTGGAGCCACTGGGGCAGGCAGGGTGGGGAGGCTGCTGTGTGTCCTGGGGGATGGAGCGGGGTGCAGGTCTGTGTTAACTGAGTGTGCAGCTGCACTCGGATGCCTTGTGCTGTCAACTTACAGCTCACACCATCTCTGCCGTGCCCAGCCCTACACATACCCGGGCTGTGAAACCAGCACTGGCCCCTGCTCACACGTAGCTTGTTCTGTGCTGTGTGAGCCTGGCTGGAGCTCGGAGGGGATAGCCTCCCTCACCCTGCTGTCTCTGCATCGATTTGGGCTCACTTTTGGCTTTTAGAAATGCATTTGGTTGTTTCTTTGCCAGCCGTGGAAGTGGAGCAGTTGGAAGGCTGTGTCTGGGGGAGCGCAGTGCAGACGCTGCAGGATCAGTTGCTGCCTGCAGTCAGAGTGGGGGTGAGGAGTATTTGTTGGCACCACAAGGAAATAAGTGGATTTACCTAATCTGCATTAGCAGATGAGCAAGATAAACGAGGGCTTTGCAGAGTGTCCATTAACTAATAACATTTTGTGCTGCTTGTCTCAAGTCCAGTTGCTGGGGAATGCCTTTGCAGTGCGGAGCTGTGGTGGTTGTGCTTGATAGATTTTTTCCCAAAAAGCCCCGATTCCTGAAGTATCACAGAACGGGTCAGGTTGGGAGGGACCACAGTGGCTCATCTGGTCCCACCTCGTGCTCCAGCAGGGCCATCCCAGAGCACGTGGCACAGCATTGCATCCAGCTGGAATATCTCTAGTGAGGAGACTCCACACCCTCTCTGGACAATCTGTTCAGTGCTCGGTCACTGCACAGGGAAGAAACTCTTCCTCATGTTCAGGTGGAACTTCCTGGGCACCATTCTCTGCCCACTGCATGTCCTAGTGGTTGGCACCTCCAAGCAGAGCCTGGTCCATCCTCTTGTCACCCCTCCTTTATATTTATACACGTTGACAAGGTCCCCTCTCAGCCTCTTCTGCAGGCTGAACAGGTTGGGCTCCCTCAGCCCTTCCTTGAGCGATGCTCCAGTCCCTTAATCGTTGTTGGCCTCTGCTGGACAGGCGCAACCGGAGAGAAATATTTCTTCTGGTTTGTTATTAAATTAAAAGACAGTTATTCCCCTTCTAGGAACGTTGCGCTGCTTTTCGCGTCGCTGCTAACGTGGCACCACCCCCGGTGCGGCCGAGGGGCTGCCCCGCGCCTGCGGGGCTGGGAGAGGCGGCCGCGCGGGGCCCGCGGGGCTGGCAGGATGCGAGGCTGGCGGGACTCGGGGCTGGCAGGACGCGGGGCTGGCGGGACTCGGGACTGGCAGGACGCGGGGCTGGCAGGACGCGGGGCTGGCGGGACTCGGGACTGGCAGGATGCGGGGCTGGCGGGACGCGGGGCTGGCGGGATGCGGGGCTGGGCCGCGGGTCTACCGGTGACGCGTGTGACGCGCTGTGAGCTCAGCGGGGGCAGGGCCGGCAGGGCCGGGCCGGGCGGGTCCCTCACACGGCGGGTTCCTCACACGGCGGGTTCCTCACACGGCCCGCCATGCGCCGGGCGATGCGGCCGCTCCGCGCCCTGAGGGGGCTCTGCGGGGGGACAACGGTGAGAGGGCTCGGGCGATGGGAGGGCACGGCGGGCACCGGGGCGGGCCGGATTGAGCGGAACCGAAAGGGCTGTGGGGTGCAGGGGACGCGTCCGGGCCCGCAGAGCCGTGGGATGCCCGCGGGGACCGTGGCGGGTTCCCGGGCAGAACTCCCGTCCTGAGGACTGCCCCGTAGTGGTACAGTGGGAACAAGGGGAAGCCCTTCCGACTCCGTCCGTCCCCTTCGTTGTGCAGCGGGGCAGAGCTCTCCTGTCCCGAGCGGAGTTTCTTTAGGGTCAAAAGGAAAAAAAAAAAAGCTGTCGACTTCATTATTTCCCTGCTAGATGTGTGCTCAGTTCCTTCCTTTGTGCTTTTTTCCTCCCGGTATGCTTAACAAAATACTTTTTTTTTTTTACTAGTTTATTCACTGTAAAGTTCTTATTTGTGATCTGTTATTTATACATTGTTATTTGAACATAGCAAAATTAACCGCGTCTATTACAAAGCTATTCCGATAGCACTTCAGTTTCAGCAGTTTCAGATGCCAGTCCACAAAGCCTGAGGAGACCGCTGTACATTTGGCAGCAACTTTGAGCAGCATTTCTGCAGCATTTGGGTTGTTTCTAAGGTACTATTCGTGAAACGGGTGCCGGCAGTGTGGAGACAGGGGCTCGAGGGGGTTGTTTTGAAATAGAGGCTGATGATTCTGTAGAGGAGGAAAAAGAGTTCTTTTCAGGGGGAGTTCTTGCATATAAAGCTGGACAGCAAACCCAGCTTAATGCAAATCAATGATAATCGATATATTTGCAGCGGTGGCTTTATTAAACTCGTGGGTGTGCAGCGGTTTGAGCTGCTCTGGAAGGGGCAGCAGTGGGAGCCGTGCCGGCTCTGCAGGCAGCAGCGTCTCCCTTCCCAGCGGTGACAGCGGTGGTGTCTGGGCTGTACCAGCTGCGGGAAAAATGCAGTCGGTGAATAATTGATGGGGAACAAAGTGCTGCTTAAATAGGCAAAATGCCCTTCTCCCTGCTAGGGAACACAGTGGGCTGGGTGGGACAGCTCCAATAGCCAGGGCTGTCCTATTCTGGTGCCCGGAGTGCTTTCTGTGCCTCTTCTCGTTGTGCTCTGTCTCGGCGCTTCATTTGCTTTCCCTCTTCATCAAACAATGACAGAGGGAATCAGAAATCCCAAGAGTCTTGGATTCCATTTTAGGCTAGGGAGAGAAATGAAGTGATAATTTTTGTTCTGTCGTTTTCCAACGTGATTCTTTAACAGTTTCGTTGCTCAACAGTCTCAACTCTGTCTCTGCTCCCTGGGCTTATCAGCAGCTCGTCTTTCTTACCCCTCCTTAGCCTCATTCTTCTTTCCTGAACTCATGAAGTTCAGCTCTTATTTCCTCAAAGGCGGGCAAGGGGACACATTTTAGTGACTCAAGCAGCACCTTTGTCTGAGGAGGTGTTAACTTTACCGATGGGCATTAATCTCCTGTATGTAAAACCAGGAATCAACGGGAGCCATGTGGAAGGAGCACAGCAGTTATCTGGCTGTAATCGAACCTGCTGTGGAACAGAAAAGTGCAGGTGACAGCTGGGACAGTTTTAGTGTCTAAACCTTGTAAGGGAGGAGACAAGTTCAAGACCTGCCAGCACTGAAATACTGACTGTTGTGTATTTTGTTGGTGTTCGAGGGAGGGGGCAAATCAATCAAAAGTGGGACTCACTGCCACAGCAGCAGGTGTTTTGTACGTCGTCTGATCAGTTTAACTTGATTTTTGATCTGGAACAGTTTGTAAGGCAAGGTAGAGCTCATGGGGCTGTATGCATGGGGCAGAGGGAGCTGTGTTCCTTGTGTCACAGTAGGTATTTTAGCACGTGAATGTGGCTGAAAGGTATGTTACAGTGTGCTGAGCTGAAGATCCCTTGCTCTCCGGTGTCTGTGGCTGCTGAAAGCTCCATCAGAGTGTGTGAGTACAGGCAGAACTCAGGTGCTCTCTGTTTTGCACTCCTGACAGCTCAGTGCGCTGCCCTCCTTTGGGTTCCTGTTTGACATCGATGGGGTGCTGGTGCGAGGGAAGACTCCAATTCCTGCCGCCAGAACAGCCTTTCAAAAGCTCGTGAACTCTCAGGGACAGTTCTTGGTGCCTGTGGTGTTTGTCACCAATGCAGGGAATTGCCTTCGCCAGAAAAAAGCTGACCAGTTGTCTGATCTGCTGGGAGTTCCAGTGAGTCCCTTAAATCCATTTATTTTGTTATTACATTGAGTGTGTCAAATGTATTATCTTCCATTAAATGCTGCTCTGTTAATCAGGTCTGGTTTTCCCTTAAGCCCCCTGGAATGCTTTGCTGGAGGTGTTAGAGAGTAAAAAATGCTGTCCAAAGCTCATGGCATTTCCTTTGGTGAAGGTACTGATTTTTCCAGTGGTAAAGCTAAAGCTAACAGGATTTTTCTGCAAAGGTGGTAGGGAGTGATTCATAAGAGCATCCTTCCAGGATAATGATCTTAAAGGTTTATACCTATCCTGTGGAAGGAGTGGGGATATGTAAAGTAAAAGATGATTTTCTGATACAATTAAGTCAGTGCTGTAGTTTAGCAAAGGGCCCACAATTGGAACTAGGGCAGTTCTGATTCTTCTTCCCTGTTTGTTTTCCAAATTGGGTGATTCTGTAAAACTGGGAGAGGAAACCTTGTGCTCATGTTGAATAGAGTAATCTGGAAGCTGAAAGGGGTCTGTGCATTACAGTGCAGTAGTATATTTTTTTGTAATGTATTTTTTTGTAATGTGTTTATGCAGCAGTGTATTTTTGTCTGGCATGTTATCAATAGGTCCCTTGTGAAACTTCAGAGAAAATGCTGTGATAGGGGTTTAGGTACATCTGTATGATTATTTTGCAATTCCGAGACTTTGTCACATCTGTTGATTGAATCTTTGTATAAATAACTTCCCTGAAAATCAAAACCAACAGACTCCCTTTGTTTTTGATTCCCAACCAGATATCCCAAGATCAGGTGATGATGTCACACAGTCCCCTGCGGATGTTCAAGCGTTACCATGAGAAATGTGTCCTGGTGTCTGGACAAGGACCACTTCTTGATATTGCTCAAGAGTATCTTTACAAAAAATAAACCCCAACACTTCCCAAGTGCTTTCCTTACTCAAGGTCAGGGAGTCCTGTGGATCAAGTGAAGACCGAATATCTCAACCCTACAAAAGCAGTAATAAGCAGTAAATGGTAGTTCTTACTGTGCTGTCAGATTTATGTTTTGAATGTGCTTGGTGTGCTGGTGTTTGCTTCACTTTGTTCTGTCTGTTTTGAGTGAGGAAAAAAGAGAAATAATTTTTTTATTCATGTGCAAATGACCCTTTAGCACACGGGGTTTGTGCTCCCTTGAGGAGGAGAGCCCAGCATTCTGTCTGTTATTTAACACATTGACTTCTAGCTCAGTGGCCCAAGATTTGCTTGTGGGCATGTCTTTGTAACCAACTCCTAGAGTAAAACTACACTTGAATATTTTTGCCACTTCTATACTAATGGCCAAAAGAACTTGAATTATGTTGATATAATGGTGGTATCAAAGTTTCAAACATAATCGTTGCTCATGCTCCCAGTAAGTCCCTTCTACACTTCCTCCTCTATTGGGATTTTAATGGAAGTTGGTGTAAAACGTAAGTTGTAAAAAATGGATATGCAGATTTTAAGTATAAGCTCTATTTCCAAGTCAAAGATGAGGAAAAGGTATTGAAGGAACATTAACTGTCAAAATCCATTAGGCTTGGCTAAGAGATGAGTGTGTTACAAGCTGAATACAAACCAGAAGAGCCTTGGTCTCCTGTTGATAATGGGATGATCATCTTGTCCCACAGAGGAAAAAGTCAGTCTTTGTGCTTTCGTTCCTAACTGATTTGCTTTGCCAGACAAACTGCCTATGTTCACATTGTTCAAATGGGATTATGGATTTTAAACATCCTTTCCTGTAAGAAGCTCTTTGTCCTTAAGTGGTGTTGCCAGCCTTGGTTTCTGTCAGCCCATCACCATCGAGACTCTGCGGGAGAAGCACCCGCTCCTGGATGCAGTTGACCATGACAGAAGACCCAACGTTCTGGTGAGTGTATATTTTTGTTTTAAAGCTCTTTGTTTGCTCATTGCATGACATTCTATAGTAGGGGTCAATATTTAACCACCAAGCTAACGCTGCGGTTCCTATGTGGTGTTTTGACTTTGCATTTCTGCTTCCTTATTTGTTTTATTACAACATTTTCAAGAACAACTCTGTAGACTTTTTTTTCTCAGTGGTAATTCTTTAACCCAGTCTTTGATATTGTAACTTACTGTTGTGGGAAAGCTTACAGTCTAATACAGATACCTAGTTCAAAATCTGTCTTGGAGAGCTGATTGGCTTCTTCAGGTGTGTGGAAGATACCACAAGTGTTTTCCTTCAGCCTGAGGTTGTGTTGGTATTGGTTGTAGGCTGTGGCCTTGCTTCGATTGTAAATTAATGCTTTGCAGAGAATTAATTTCCCTGCAAAGGACTCCCTTTCCTGTTCATACCAAATATATGAAACGCTTACAGTATGTGCAATATGGTTTCCACTGAATTGTGCAGAATTTCCAAGAGAAGTGAATCCATGCACAGCAGATCCCTGGTGAACTGGCCATGTTTGGGGCAGTGGGTTTGCCCCACGTGATGCCAAGACATTCCCTGTGGCTCCCAGAATCCCTAACTCAGCTGTGTCACCTTTGGCTGTGCTTCTCAACCCTGCCAGTGGGGAGGTCAGGAACCTGCCAGTGTGTTTGGCACCACAGAGAGGACATAATGAAATGCAAACTCTTAAGTGTGTAGCAAAGACATGACATGTTACACAATGCATTTTTCTTTATTAGCAGTGTTAAAGAAATGCACCTCAAAAACTGTTATACAGGTGTCTTGATAATACTAAAGGCCTCTTACTCCTGTGGGAAATTAAACATCCACACTTTCACACACGAGCCCTCTGACATGTCTGCTGTCTCTGTGCACGAGATTTCACTTCACAGTGGACATACAAGTTCCTGAGTGAACTGACATCAGGTATCTCCCAAAATAGAGAGAGTATTTCCTGTCAGTGCTGCGGAAGGCAGCTGTGGGAGCTATATTTGAATTTATTCTGTTAAAAATAGTAGTAGATGTTTATCTTGTAGAAAACTTTCACTCTTTTCTTATTGCAGTCCCCCTCTGCTGTGGAGCTTCCCAAGATTGAGGGTCAGTTACCTTTATTTAACTTGCAATTATCCATTAATAGATGAAATATCTTTATTGTGCTTTATAATCAGGAATTATTGTTAGATTGTTGGGCACTTCAGAAAGTTGTCTGAGACACTGCTGAGGTTTTCTTATAATGACATCTGTCATTCATTTGGAATGCATCAGGTGTGGTAAAGCTGGTTTCTAATGTGTACAGTTTTGAGCCACGTGTTTTTGAAGTTCCAAAGCTACATGAGGTCTCCTTCCCTTTCCATCTGCCTTTAACAGGCTATTGGTGCTTTCCTGTCCAAAATGAGGAGTGAATTGACATGTGTTCAGCAGTAATTGGTCTAGTCCTTGCAAGCACTGCAGAGCTGCAGTGTGAGAAGCATCTTATTTCAGCACATCGTATTCATTCTCATCTGAGCTATGGGAAAGTAGAAACTGGACTTTAGGATTTAAAAAATCCAGTCAGATAATTGCTGGAGACCAGAAAAATGTTTAAAAACAACATTCAGATTTTGTTCTAAGATGAACAAAATAACATCTCTGATGGTTTTCTTAAATACTGCATGTAAACATAGAATTTACAAAAGTGTGGAAGACTTAGAAATACAATTTAAAGTTAATATTTTGGGGTGCTCTGGAAAAACTTAGTCAATAAAAAAACCCAAATTCCTAAACCCGTAGATTTTGCAGTGGGGTCTTGTTGCTTCTGAGATTTTCTGTGAATGGATGGGTATGTGACATATTAAATATTAATACCTAAATTAAAGTCGATGTGACTGTTTGATCAGTTCGTGATTATATTAAATTCCTTGTTCAGTCTCTTTAGACCACGTGTGTGCCCTCTTAGCAGTTCCATGACTCTGTTTTGGAATTCTGGTTCTCACAGCTGTGGTGTTGTTTGGGGAGCCAGTCAGATGGGAAACCAGCCTGCAGTTGATAATAGATGTTTTGCTGACCAGTGGCTATCCTGGAAATCCCTATCACCATGAAAACTACCCTCACATTCCTGTGCTTGCCTGTAACATGGATCTCATGTGGGTAGCTGAGGCACAGTCTCCAAGGTGAGTAATTTGTAATGTGTGTATATTGTGATTTATTTGGGGTTTCCTCATTTCTGCAGTGAAATTCAGAGTCAGCACCTGAATACAAAATGCCTGGTGCAGCTTCACAGCAGGTCTTGGCCCTGAATGCAAGGCCTCTGAGCAATGCACTTCCAGCTAATGCTGCCCTATTGCTGTGTGCATTATTGCATCCAGGAAACCAGTTACTCCAGAGAAAAACTGCTTTTGAGCTCCAAACCCTTTTGTTTCCTCACTCCCAGAAGAGTGGGGAAAGAGAGGTTTTTGCCTGAGGGCCTCAGAGTCTCAGTTCAAAGGGAAAAATGAAAAAATTATCAAGGCCATTGTTTCATCTCATTAGGTCCTTTGGAATTTCTCCTTTCCACACTACGTTCCTGGCAGGGTTAAGAGCTGACCCTGCTGCTGAAAGCAGTGAGTGGTTCTGAGCTGAGGACAGTGCACTGAGCTCCTTAAGGAGGGAAACCAGCAGAACACGCAGAACAAGGTGGCGTGACCTCTGATAGTGATTTGGTTTGATTTTGCTTGCAATAGAAGGTAGTTCTTTAATAGCCTTGTTTCCCCTCCCTTCCTCTCAGTCTGTAATTTGAAACAGAAACTTGTTATTGTGACTTGATTGCTGCCTCGATCCTGGGTCAGAGATCTTGTCAGATATCCTGCCTTGGAAGCAAAGGCTTTCTCTAATTAGCACCTTGGCAAAGGATGTGTGTGTGGTAGTTTCACGCTGGAGTAAGGCAGCCAGGACATCTACAGTGAGCAGATAAATCTGTTGTGCCATCCCAGTAACGGGGGGAGGTTTGTTGTTCAGCAAATAGGCACTTTATTTCCAGTGAAACAGCTGCAGAAATGTTTTTTTTAATCTACACTTAATTTGATTTGTCTTTCTATCTGTGCAGGTTTGGGCACGGGACATTCATGGTGTGTTTGGAGAACATCTACAAGAAGATCACTGGCAGGGAGCTGAAGTACGAGGCGCTGATGGGCAAGCCCAGCAGGCTGACGTACCTGTACGCTGAGCAGCTGCTGCGGGCACAGGCCCTGCACAGGCCCTGGCACCAGCCCATCCACACCCTCTATGCTGTGGGGTAAGGGCTGCTGAGCTGACCAGCAGGGAACCACTTACACCTGGGTACTGGTTTTATTAGGTTTACTGGTATAACACCAGCTGGCTTTGAGTAAATGATCGTTTGTTAGAGAATGTAGAGCTGGAATTTATCTGTGAGGTCATTAAGCTTGGTCATGTGCTACTGCCTGTGGTGTCACAGCATAGAATGCTTTTCACAGAAAGGGATAAAGCTGTATTGTATTAAAGACTGTTCCAGAAGCTCCAAGATGTTTGGAAATATAGTAAGCTCATTCATGCACTGCTCATACCTATCCTTGATTCCCCCCCTGCTCCAATGTGTAGTTCCAGTCTGGAGAGCGACTCATTTGTATCATGACCCCTCAATGACAACGGTGCAATAAAATAGTTGTGGGGTATGGATTTCCCCCTGTCTGCATAACTCCCCATGGAGCTGTTCAAGTGTAAATTAACCTGTAAACTAAAGCCATGTCTCTCATACCTGCACACCTGACAGGTAAGCCTGCCCTGCTGAGCGAGCTTCCTTCTGTTTGCAGAGACAATCTCATGACGGACGTCTACGGTGCCAACCTTTACAACCGCTACCTTGAGGAGAACTCCAGGAAGGGCTCCAAGCCCCGGCTCCAGGCCCAGGTTTCTGGTGGCAGAGGCTCTGCTGCGCTCCCTCAGGACGAGGACATGGAGCAGGGCTGGGAGAACCAGCTGGCACCTGCAGCTGCTGCCCACTGCAGGTCTGTCCTGGTGTGCACCGGGGTGTACAACCCCCACAGCCAGGAGCCCCTGGAGGCCAGGGACAGCCTCAGGGAAGCCGTGTTCCATGGCCACAGAGATTTTAGGTTTGATCCTGCTTTAGTAGAACCGGATCATATTGTTCCAGATGTCAATGCTGCTGTAGACCTGGTCTTCCAGCTGGAGAACTTTGCACCTAACTGAGGTGATGGGATTTCATAAGGACCACTCAGTGCTGTGCTTTTCTTCCCAAAAAACAAGCTGTGCTTTACAACAGCACCACAAACTGCTGCCTTCTAAAATTTTTTAACTTCTACATTAATGCAATCTTACATTAGGTATGCTTATTAGTAGTATATATAGATATATTAGTATGTTTATATTAAATATCAATAATGCTTTTTATAGTACTTCAAAGTATGTAATTTCTGGCTTTAGTTGCTCTTTATTGTCCTCCTCTTCATTTTGTTAGGTATTTTAACAGCAATATTTCACAGTAGGCTATTCATGTTACTGGTACTTAAATTCCCCCGTGACAGTATCTTGTTTGCTGGAAGATTTAACCTGTAGGTGTTTGGGATCTTCACGGTATCAGAGCAGGGTTTGTTGGCATCAGCCTCAGTGTGGAATGGGCTGGTACAGCACAACCCTGCTGGCTCTTCTGCAAGCAAGGGGTGCTCTCCTAAATCAGAGTGGAGTTCCAGTCTGTTCTGCTGGGGACTTGCTCACATCTAACCTTGCTGCTGCCTTGCTGTTTGTTTGCTTTCCCATGTGTCTGGAGTTGCTATTTCCTCTCTCTGATGTGTAAAGCTTTAACAGAACTGCCCATGGAGGTTGGGGAAGGCTGACTTGGTACTGCCCTGTTGGAACTCCAACTGAGCACAGTCCTGTGAGGAAAGCAGCCAACACTGGGCACAATACCTGCCCTTTTTGTCTTTGCCTTTCTATCTGCACTTTGTTTTGAGGAACTGAGGATCTTAGAAAGCTTTAGCAATTTTGTTTCAGGTGTTTCTGTGAGTTGGACTTTACCACTGAATGAATGACTACTGCTTGGCCAAAAAGTGCCTCATAATTTACTTGAAGCCTCATACCACTGTGGTAATTATCTGGCCTTTAGTGTAATATATTTCATCTTGTGTCCACGTTATGTGTTGTTTGGTTCATGGATTTTATAGTTGTTCATTTAGAAAAACCCAAAAAAGTAATTTAATTTATGTTATTTTTGTAAAATACTTCTAAATGTTTTGATCCAAGAGATGTCTTTGAAAATATTTCTGTGCTAATAAGCATTGACTGACAGATGGTGGCACAGGGTGAAATGACTTCCTGGCCAACTTCTTCACTGCTTATTATCCCAGCAGCAACATCTGAAAACTCACGCCATAAAGAGAACACAGCTGCTATGGGAGTCACTGTTTGTGTTTTCCCTGTTTGCAAACCACCCTAATCCCCCTCTCCACTGTCAGGATCGTTGATTTATCACTCATAACCTTTTGTAAGTAGCTTTCAAAATACCTTGCTGGATGCAGTTTCAGAACACTGCTCTAAATGTTTATTTCCTGTTTCTTGGAAAAGTATTTACAGCAGCACATCCTTGCCTTTTTACCGGTACAATAAACAGATATCTCCTATTTCTTTAGCACTTTCTGTAATACACCAAGTATTTGCCAAGTATGCCAAATCTTTCTCAGTAATGATTGTACTTTTGTAACGTGTCAGGATGACTTGAAGTTTTATTGTTTCAGTACTAAATCACATGTCAGAGCTCTGACTACTGCGAGAGTCGGGGAAGCAAGGAATAAAAATGTTGGAAGTGTCTTTAATGTGATTGTTTGTATGAAGGTATGACTGAGCCCCAGGAGGGAAGGATCTGCAGCTGCATCACCACAAAAAGAAATAGGCAGTTGTTGCCACGGGACAAAATAGATTAATATATACAGGTATTGCTATAAAACAAGAGAAATGTGAGTGTAGTAGACACCTGTGTTATACCAGGAGGCTTGGCAAAGATTTTGGTGACACGTCCTGAAAAATAATTTTTTAAAGCAAGGATATAGTGAGTTATCATTGAAAAAAAGTACCATAAAACAGTGCATCAGAACTACCACTGTAATTTCTAACATTTCCTGCTGTGGTACTTTAAAATAAAATGTAGTGGTTCTTCATTAGTCTAGCTGAGATGTGGAAATACTTTGAGGAAACCTCAATCTGTAGTATGGAGAAGGTGGATTTTTTCAGAGTTCTTAAGTAAAACTGAGTTTAGTATAATGTTCTTTCCAATTATTCAGCTAAGAGTGAGATGAATTAATATTATCTTGGGTAAGGAAAAGAAGACTAAGACCCTGTCTTAACATTTTCTCTCCTTTCCTTGACTCCTCTTACTTGGATTTTCACTTAACCCTCTTTAACGTTGATTTCAGTTTTGACATTTACCTGTTTGAAATGGAGAGTGTTTCCCACATGTTCTGTTCAGTGTATTTCAGTCAGAACACAGGGATGTTACAATACTTCTTTCAAGTTTAAACTGTCCCGTTGGAACACCTAAGTGTCCAGGATGCGCAGAAGGTGATCACTGAAATCACTTTTAAAAACACTTCTGAGGATCTTGCAGAAGTTTCTTGTGAGTAGAACTTGTGCTTTGTGAGTAGTGTGTTTATTCTTGATACCTTTTGTTCTGGTAAAGACAAAAAACATCTCAAACCCAACCTTTGAGAAAGCATCCTGTAATTATTTTGGCTAATAGAAAATGTGGAGGATTTTAAACTACAGTCATGTATTGTCTTCAGTATCACATATTTTTCTTCAGAAGCCTTTTTCAATTAAAGGTAGTGTATTGAGGAATGTATGAGAAATTTTAAGAAAATTTTTCAGATACCTCCACTTTGATATAAAAACCCCACAAGTTGTATTTTAATTATGTCAAAATTGAATACTCGTAATGAAAGGAATAATCAATCTGTAGTACATTCTACATTTATAAAATCAGTGTAGTACAGTTATTGATGTGTTATGGGATAATCTTTTCAAATTGTAGGTTCTTTTAGTTAGGGGTCATATCCAGGCAGCTTGTCTTAAAGATGTCAGTAATTCACAGTAATCTGTTGTAGCGTTTTGTAGTAATTTATTTTATTCCATAAACTGCTCGGTAAGAACTGAGTTTATTCGGGAAGCGAAGGGCTGGAACTGCCCTGAGGGGCCGACACCGCCCGGGAGCGGTGAGGGGGGATCGGCCCCTGAGGGACCCGCCCGGGAGCGGCGAGGGGGCATCGCCTGAGCCCTG